TTTTCTTGTGTTATTATATTCCAGAGTATAACCTAATACAGTGATGATACTCACACTTCACTTGTTTCTGATTCTCAGAAAAATGCCTCTAGAAGTTCATTGTTGAAAGTGATATTTTTCTAACATACTCTTTCAATCAGTAGGCTGGGATTATTATTTTTATTAGGGTTGGATATAGAATTTTATGAAATATTGTTTGGGATGTGTTGAGATGCAGTTTTTTCCACTATTTTTGAAATTAGATATTATTATCAGGTTTGCTTTTGTTGAATCATCCAGGTACTTAAAGCCTTCTCTGACATGGTGTGTTATTTTAATAAAAACACTGAGCTTGTTCATATTTTATTGATATAATTGCATCAACAATTTGTAAGTAAACTTACTCCTAATGTTATAGCTTTCTTTGGTAGATTTTAGTTTGGAATTTCATATGCCTTCTAAAATAAACTAAGAATGAGGTATTTTCTTTTAAAAAGTTTTTCTGTTATGCCAGTGTTTGTCAACTATTAATAATCTGAGCCAATAGTTTTTGCTGTGGGGGCTGATCTGTGCATGCAGGATGTTCAGGGGCATTCCTGGCCTATTCCTATTAGAGGCCAACACCTACTGCCCTACCACCTTGCCAAGCTGCGACTGTCAAAAATGTTTTTACACATTGACAAATGTTCCCTGACAAACAAAAATCACCCCCAGTTGAAATCTGCTGGTACATACTTTGGCAAAGTTTAATGTTTATGGAAACTTCTCAATGAAGCCATTTGAACTTGATGCCTTTTGTGGAGTGGTATGGAGCTGCCTTCCAATTTCTTTTCAAATAGTACATAACCAGTGGGTACATAATGTCACAATTTAAGCAAGTCTCGTGATGTCCCCCGAAGTTCTTTCTTTTGCATGTTCCCCTTTCTCATCTGTACTTTCTTCTTGAGCAAGTTCATCATTTCCTATGGCTTCACATCATGACTGTTTACTTTTGAATTCCAGACCTTTTCCTCTTCTGCAGACCTTCTAGAATGCCAGATTAATATATTCAACTGCATTTTATATATGTATCTGGATATCCAACAGGACCCTGATGTACCATGTATGTAAAAAGCATGTCTTAGTCCTTCCTAAATCCCATCCTCCATAACTGTGGTATTCCATATAATCTAAAATATATCACAAATTTAGGAGTCAGATTAGATTCTGCTTTTTTTTTTCCCTCACTTTAAATTAGCCCAAATTCTATGGATTCTACACTCAAATATTTAGTTCTATCTCTTATATCAGATTCCTATCATTTCTACCTGAACTCTATTTTACTGGTAAAGAAGAAATTTTAACTTAGAATTAAAGGCTAGAATCCATATTTATTTACTGAGTATTCTCCAGCTATTAAAAACATCAATGTTACTAAGATCAGGGGAAAAGGCTAAAACTCAAGGCCTAATGTTGTAAGTCAAGAAATATATTAACTCAGACAATTGTCTATAGAAAGGAGCTGCAAGTCTCTATGTTTGACCCATTCAAAGTTTGTCTTAGTTGTTTTGTAGATAAGAAAGGGATAATTATCAAATTTTCAGAAGCTTTAAAACTAGAATGCATATGTAATATATTGACTTCATCAAGGTGAAAGGCATCTGTAAAATGAAGTGAAAAGCTGTATCTTACTAGGTAAATATAACAGGGACATTTACAAAGTTCCAAACCTGAGTTCAAAAATCTAACTGTAGCTTATAGTTAGGGGTAAAGTGAGCAACATGGAAGTTGATGGTAACTGAAAGGGAAGAACAACTTGGAAACATGGGTACCATAAAGGCCCTTTGTGATATTTTACATGTTAATGTAATCATATGCTTACATTAGTAATTATGCCACTAGTAAATATAGTTATTAGGTTAAAACATTCAAACCATTACAGTACAAAGAATCACTTAACTACTATTTACATTAAAAAATAAGAGTAGGTGTGATATACTCCGGGGAAGCACCATGCAGACCACTAGCAGAGCCTGGGTCTGGCCGTGTGGCCGGACACAGGCCTGACAGCCAGGGGCCCAGAGCGCTGTGCTGAGGCTGGCATACCAATGCAACAGGTAGAGAAATGACGATGCTGGGGTAGCAGGAAAATAAAATGGCAGAATATTCATTTTGATATACAAGCAACTTGCCACTTGTTTAAAGTCAGTAAGAGCATCAATTACTATACTAGGGTTTAGGAACCAGGCACATGTTCTGGAATGGCAAGGTTCCAAGCAGGAGCTCCAGCACAGGTAATGAGGCGTGGACCCAACCATCTGAATAAAGAGTCAAGTGAGAATAAGGTAAAAGCTGAGTTATTAGAACAGAGCAGTGGGGCGCTGCAGGGGTGACTTATGTTTAGTCTCACAGTTAGCTAGTTTCAAGCGTACTTCTAGGATGTAAGGAAGTGCTGGGTCTGCAGGTGGTTTTCAAGGAATTCCAGCTGTACAGAGAGTGGCACATTAGCCTTGATAATTTTACTGGACTGTGAATTCAATATGGATTTATTTTGGTTACACAAGAAATGCAATGCAGTTGTTATCTTCATAGGAACCTATAGCATCATGATCAAAGAGGGTTGTCTAAACAAAGATGCTGTATTGTTCTTTGTCTCAGGCATGAAGTTTTATGAGGGACAGTAACATACAGTTCAGGAACAAATTGAATTGCCTAAAGTTCTAGGCACATATGTGAAGGAATGAAGCTGAGCCCAGAATTGGAAGAAAGAAAAAAGAACAAGAGGAATGTAAGGAGGGAACAGGGAAGAAGAGAGGAAACAGACAGACAGAGAGACAGAGAAAAAAAGATATTAAGTGGCAGCTGCCTCTTGGCCTCCCTCAAGCAGTAAGAACTGGTGGGAGGTATGGTGAACTGGGTAGTGCATGCCCTGGTTAAGGGGTGGTTATTCCAGGGGACTTGGATCTTGAGACCTTCAAATATTTACCAAAATGTGTGATATATTTATTGTTATGTGATGTCTTCTGATTTTTAGTGTGGTCAGTTGATGTTTTTAACTATGTTTGGGCCAAAAAATATGTTCTGTATGCATGGGCCACCAATCTGGAAATACCCGCAGAGTAGTGGCTAGAAAAATAAGCCATGACTTCCCCCCATCCCCAAACTAAAGCTTAGGAATGTTTAGTGCAGACAAGTCATGCGACATCAAATGTGCCCAAGACTATCATGTGGCAAAGGTATTTGTTTTTTCTCAAAAAGCAGAACGACGACTAATGAAGGCAGCTTTTAAAATTACATACAGACAAATTTTCTAACACTGAGAGCCATTCTGGTATGGAAACACCACAGGGTCTTCCCCTTCAGGACATGCTGTACCTGGTGGATAAATATTTATTGAAGGAATTAGTGAACCTTTAAACTGAATTGGCAGCCAAGATTTGTATGCCTCTCTAGGGCACTGGAGGACATCAGTTTTCCATCCTTTGATGATTTATACCTTTAAATTGGTTGATAACTGTGCTATTCCAGGTATGTAAAGAATTGGACTGTTTTAGATATGTATTCTCTGTCATTTCTATTTATGTAATATAGGTGTGACACACAGATTTGCTACTTCCAAACATATTTCTTATAATGATATCATTTGTAAGAAAAAAAAATTTTTCTTTTTTGCTTTGAGGTTCTTTGATCATTTAGTGAAGAGTTTGTTCCTTGATCTTTTAAAGATAGCTCACAAAGATTAACATCGTGAACTTGTGTTGGAAATTATAGGATTTGAAAGCTGATGGATTTGGGTTAGACTTATGAGTCCTTTAACTTATTAGTTACATGAAATATCTAATTTCCATAAGCTTTAGTTTTCTCATCTACAAAATTCCTAGTTTTTCCAAACCATGTTTAGTATTCATATCTATAGAATACAATTATCTACTTCAAAGGGTTAAATGAGTTATGAATTAAATCATGTAAAATGGCTGACCCATATTTTCCATAAAGTTTGCAATATACATTTACAACTTTCAAATAATATTATATTTATTAATGAATAGTGCAAGTACCTATGACAGAGTATTCCCATTTCCTCCCTTCCATCCCTTATCACATTGCCGTTACTCATTTTACTTGTCCAGAAGCCATAATCACCAACTACGCGTTATTACTTTGGACAAACTGTTATCTATTAGGTCAATTAAAAATAGAAAAAAAATTTTACTTTACCTTAACTTCTTCTCTAATACTCTTACTTTCTTAGGTGGATTTGTTTCTGCCTATGTAATTTGCCTTCACTTTGAAGACCTTCTTTTAACATCTCTTGCAAGGCAAATCTATTGGCAACAAATTCTCTGTGCATGTGAAAGTATTTTCTTCTTCACTTTTTTTTTAAATCTGAAAACATAGTTTCTAAAAAGATTTTAATTTTTAGAACAGTTTTACATTGACAGCAAAACTGAAGGAAAGGTACAGAGATTCCCCATCTACCCCTGTCCCCACGCATGCTTAACCTTCCCCATTACCAACACCAGAAAGGTGCATCTGTTACAACAATGGGTCACCCTGACACTTGATAATGACCAAAGGACTCTCCTTCACATTCAAAGAATGACTTCATCAGATACAGAATTTTAGGTTGGTGAGGTTTTTTTTCCTTCCAACATCTTAAATATTTCACTCCATTCTCTTCTTGCTTGTATAGTTTCTTTGGTTTCCTTTTATGTCCATGTTTTTGCCTCCCCTGTGGTTTTTAGGCTTTCCAAGAGACTCTTTAAATAGGGTTTGAAAGTTTAAAGTTCTTCTAGTTGTATTCTTGTTATTATGCAGGAGCCCTACTAATACAGTGATAAGGTGTGGGAGAGGGAAAGTGACTGTAGTATCGTGATTCGGTCCATTCCTTTAGTGAGTACTGAGCTGGGAATTTCCCTTCCCTACATCAAAGGCTAGAGGAAGCTTGCGCTGGGTATTTCCCTTCTCCGGGGTTGGATAGGCACTGATAAAACTCTAGTCTTAGGCTCTGGTAAAACAGTTTCCTTCGGTCCAGGCTTGGTGAGAAGAGAGCTCCGGACATACTGTATTTCAAAATGGTTACTTCCTCCTTCCCCTCCTGGAAGCATGTGGTAATTTTTCTCAAATCTTCACAGAACCTGTTTTTAGGGCAACTGTAAGTACAAATTATGAAAGTGTGGACCTCCACTAAGAATGGGCCAGCTCTGAGATTTTAATTCTCACTCTGCCTTTAGCGATTCATCAATTACAATTTAATGTCTTCCTACTGACACTGGCTCCCATTGCACGGTTCTGCACCAGTGCTTCTGCTTCAGGTAAGTAATGATTCTCTCCTGCCATCTTTCAAGGTTTCAGGGTAGCAGTTAGACCTGTGACCTCAATTCTCTGATGTACATAAGAAGAGTTGTTGATTTTCAGTTTGTATGACATTTTTCATCTCTCAATATGAGTGATGACTTATAAGTTCTTTACTTGTTTGACCAGAAAGCAGAAGTCAACTGGTCCATATTAAGTACTCAACAAATATTGTATATCTTTATATATATATATTTCACATATATATGTTTATTTTTGTTGTTGATAGTTTAGCCTTTTGCTGCTTTAAAAAAAGTCTTCTATTTGATATAACTTTGCAAAAAAAATTTTAGATGTGCTTAGTAAGTCATATAATTAGATGCATTCTTATCTCACATGCTTAGTTATTAAAATAATGAAGTGAAATGCATGTGTAGATTGTTTGTAGGGGAATTCTTGATTTTCACTACATAGAAAAGTATCTTATTATTTGAATAACACCATTAGCACAACTATTGCCTGCATAAACTAAGTCAGAAGCCAGATTCCAGTGTGCAAAAGCTATTGTTTCATGACAGAAAATTGTTTTGCCAAACAGGAAGACTGTTGTAGCCTAAAACACAGTTTATGCTCAGACATATTTTTCATTCCTGCATAATTGGATGAGTACAATAAAATTATTTATATATTGGTTATATTTCCTATTTATTTTCATGAGTTAGCTCTCTATAACTTGTGACATACCTTTACCTTTCATCTTAGAGCTGTATTTTCTAATTTTGAGGTATTATCCAAACTCTACCTTCTCAGTTCAAAGTGAGAAGAAAAAAATAAATACCTAAATCTGACTTGGTGAAAAGCAGCAGGTGCTATATTCTTTGCTAAGCCTATTCTTGTCTTGAAGGGTCGTAGATCATCTCAAATCTCACGATGCCTCATTTCTGCCTTATCAATAAATATGGTTTCTATTGATGTGTGTGTTCCACTAAAATGAGATCATTGTGTGTATACTCAAGACTGCTATCGTATGTCTAGCACTCTTAGAATTATGCTTAGATTGATAGCTCTACTAAGCTGATACACTAAGTTTCTTCACCATTAAACCTCTTTTCTCATTTGCAAGTGTTCATTTCATTGATGAAGCCTGACACATCTAAGTATTTCATTTGACCTCCTATTGTTCATTGAAATGTTATAAAATTGTTTCCTAAATAACCTATTTTAGTCTCCCCACTGGTAGGGTGAAAATATGTCCTTTCTTTAAATTCAATACACGTCCTACCAAATAAATTTTCCTCCTTATTTTGGGGCTGTCAGTTCTGTTTAAAGAATGTAGTAGGAAAACAGGCTGTGCTAATCCAATGTACCTTTTTGGTGGAAAGTCTCCTGAGGCATCTGTTCTAAGAGCAAGGAAACATTTGAAGGCTTTAAATCTGATTTTTCAGACAGCTGTACTAATTTAACTAAAAGGGTCTTAGGAAGGGATGGAGAAAAAAATATCTATAAAGTGTTTGGTTGACATTTGAAAAAGAAATTGAATATTTTATCCTTAGTCTCAAAGCAGCACAAGACATAAATTGTGACAATGTTCCCAGATTTCATAGAGCAGATGTAAGCAGTAAAAACTTATTTTTGTATTCATTTGAGGACAAATGAATACAAATGGACATTAATTTGCATTTTTATGGGCTTATATGTATATACTGGTGTGAACAATATATACTACTCCATGTGTTACACATACATACTATATGTAACCATTTTATATATTTTAATTGAGAAATGTTCTTGAAAAATAAAGGTTGTAAGTAGTATTTAAATAAAACCAAAAACTGATTGAGTTTGCAAAATACAAAAACATCTCAACAAAATAAACAATGCAGCTAATTATTATATAGCTACTTACAAAATTTTGGGTTTTTGTAATCATATAATTGACATAGAAATAAATTACTTATTTTTTTTTGCTTTCATAAAAGTGCACTGCGCCCTGAGACTAGACCGTATGGTATGAGATTATTCTTCTTAGTCTTTGGAACAGAGAAAATAGTAAATTATAGAAAGAGAGAGAGAGAATAGGTAAGCCAGAGTAGGGAGAGGAGAAAATAAAAGAAAACCATACAATTCCTAAAGGCATGAAAGATTTCTGAGGCTGTTCTGGGATTCAGTCAATGGATTCCCACTTCTTGGTTAGATTAGATAATCCATTGCTTTTCACCAGTTTCCTTCTGTTGAACAATTACTTTCACCTGGATCATTGTCACCTAGCTCTTCTGACAGGTCAAGGAAAGATTCAAACGTCTGGAGGTGGCAAGCTATGATTCTGACAGGGCCAGGTTTAGGATTCTAGAGCAACAGAATAGAGCAAAAGTATCCATGATCGAGGGAGTCACGATTGCCGTTACATCTTTATTAAAAATACAGTATTACAGTATATCCTAATAAACTGAATCAACTGACCAAAGATACATATTTTCCTTTGTTTTCATTTTTTCCACTAATAATTTTTTTAAAGAAAATTAGAATTCAAGTGACTTCTTAATAGTACAGAATAAGAACTGTTTGACAGGAAAAAAAGTTTTCCCAAATATATAATCAATATGATACATAATCTAATAATGAAACATAAAATTTTTCATAAAAGGGTTTCATGTGAAATAGCAGACATGGTAGGCGTTACGTAATGTTGAAATACCAGCAAAATATCAGCAAAAGGATCCAAACTGGTAACTTTTCATCTTGTGGCCAATAATGTCATCCAATGTTTCAAGTAAATATTTTATTTGCAAATATGTGTGTCAGAATATTGTATATCTATGCAAATAAGAAAAAGAGAAAATCAGCATTCATTGTTTGCCTACATAATCTCATTAAATCCAAACAAACACTTCTACCTGGTTATTATTATTATTCCCAGTTGCCTGCAGAGGAACCTGCAGAAATGGCTTCTAGTGTAGCTAGAGTCCAAGGCCTGCACCATATGGCTTCAGGTTTTTATTTCCTTGTAGCAGGTGAGAAACACTGCATTAGAGAGATAAAACATTTTAGAATATTTGCTTTTCATTCTATGTGAATAACAAAAAGAAAAAGAAAAGCAAAGTAAATACACAAAGACTTTGAAAGAATCTTTACTGTTTGGGGGAGTACAGATCAATCCAATATCCAATAAATTCTTTTAAATAGGCTGTTTCAGAGTGACAGACATAGGTTATTTTATCAGACAATTACCTGACTGTCCAACAAAACCACCTTCTTAAATATTCCAATATGTTGTTAAGAAAAAGATATGAAGTGTGATGTTAAGTATTAAAATACTTAAAGCATGCCTGCACTTCTTTGGTGAATGGACGTGCCATTAATGAAGGTATATAAACTTCAGAAAATAAGAGCAGAGTTTGAGGGGAGATTTACTTTAAGTGAAATCCTCTGCCCTCAAAGGGTTAAATGTTAACAAAGTTAAAAAGCAGAAATCAGGCTCCTATTAGTCTTGAACACTAATCTTGTTGACGGCTGAAGTGTTTCCTTATTTTATCCATATTCATTATATTGAAGGTGGGTTATATGGTGGTGACTAATGACCAAACATCTGGACCTAGTGACCCTTAAAATCCTCCAGCCATTGCTGTTCAGAATTAAATACCACATGAACTAAAATGATATTTTGGCTTGACCAAGACAAATTAGTATGGCAAAGCTATAGACTTGCCTCTAGCTTTGCAGAAATCATAGTTTATAGAATTAAAATGAATAAAACTGAAATGTTTATAAATCTACATGTCTTATCATCATTATGAAACTGAGAAAAGTAAAATAGATATTTTCAGAAGAAAATGAGTATTCTGTTACATTGATCACTGTGGATATGAAGAACATTTGTTTCAAAATTACCTCCCAGAATTTTGATTGAGCTGTGGAAAATGAGATTACTTTAGGTTAAGTAATTGGCAAAACTCATTGCCAGAGTAATTAATTTTATCTTCAGACAGATAACTAAAGGGAAAAGAAGGTGAATGTTATCATCACCATAAGAATTATTCATTAAAAATGCATTTTTTTCTTGCAGGTAGAAAGGCAGGAGAGGCAACATAGAATAACAATGGCCAACAACAATAAAGATTGAATTGTCAGATATAAACCCCAAAGAGAAAGTGAGTTACACAAGAATCTCGGAGGTTGTGTAAGTACCCAAGCAAGGGAAGGGCCTCCAAGAAAACTCTGTTTGAATTCTACAGTTTGTCTATTTTTCTCTCCACACTAAGAGAGGAGGTGGAGTGCTGCTGGGGAAAGGGTGAAGGGGTAGAACACATCCCTTCGGACAGAATTGTGAGGGATGAAGCCTTCAAGATTCGACTTTGATATTAAATTCAAATGGTTCTCCTATTGGATTAGGAGTGACCTCTAACTAGGTGGTATAAAACTGTTTATAAAAAAAGATCAGAGAACAAATCCACCAATCATGTCAACACACAACCTCTACTGATGAACCTGTGCCTCCTATCCAAAATAAAAGCACACAAAAAACATACAGAAGAACACAAACCAGCAATTATCAGCCCTCACACTAGATGACAGTCTGAGGTGAACACAAAGAGGTTTCAGACAAGGAAGTAAAAAAGTCATGGGGAATTCATATAAACTATATCTGAGGAAAAATATCCAGGTATAACTACTTGCATTCAAGAAAAAGGTAAAAAGAAAATCATTGACCACTATGAAAAAATATACTACCACAATTTTAAAACATAAAATGCAAAATAAGCTTAAGTCCCCTTCTAATAGAATTTATACAAGATACTGAAAGATTTAAAAAAAGAAATACTTTCAAATACAAAAGAGATGCTGAGAAACATGAAATCAATGAAACAAAGTATAAATTACTGATGAGAAAATAAAACAGCAGAGTGACATAAATCAGAGTCTAGCGCCAAGGAAACAAACTGAGAATCAAAACCATATCATTACAGAATTAACAAATAAGTGACTACTAGGAAGGAATAAAATGTCCATATTTAAAAACTAAAATAGTAACAGAAAAAACAATGTCTTTAAGTAGTTAGAGAAAAGATGTTTTATATTGGATATAGAATTAACACTAAATTTGTAGAAAACTAATGTTGCTGAACTAGATAATGAATCATTGTGCAGCAAATAGCAAACGATCAGGTATATAACTTAAGAATGATGTATTTTCAAAGTTAAATCTATAGAACTCAATATAATTATAACAGTAACTCAAGAAATCTTATATCCCAAGAAAAATCAAATAGACAAAAATATATAGATGTACATAGTAATTAACCTTGATCCAATTAATTAATTAAGGTGAGTACATACCATGGCAATAGAATAAAACTTCTCAAGACGTTTTACAATTCCAAAGAAAATAGTATATTTTAAACAACACATTCCTATATTTATGTAGAGTAAGTAACACCAATGAAATAAGAGTATCCAACAAAACATACACACACACACACACACACACACACACACACATACACATATATATGTGTGGGCATATGTCTTTGTATGTAAATTTATTTATTATTCAGAATAGAAAATACCCCAAATCATAACACTGTACATAAAAAAATATAAGAGCTAGGATTAAACTTTGACTTAGATGAAAAATTCAGAGCCTTACACATTAATGCTACTTAATTTAATATAAAATAATTATAAAAAGTTAAGTTAAACATTTAATAGAACAAGAAATAGGCTATAAAATAAACTTAAGGAAAGAGTAATGAAGGGTACAAATAGAGTTAAAAACAATAATAAATAAATAAATAAATAAATAAATAAATAAATAAATAGAAAAGAGTTAAAAAGCAAAAGTAACATGAAAGGCCATTTTTTAAAGATACATTTAAAATAAATGAAATAAGGAAACAGAACTTTAGACAGTCATAAAAAACAAAGAGTAGCAAGGTACAGAAATACAGGTAATTTAAACAAATTTAGTGTATATTTTGGTGAAGTATAGGTAAATAAATGCAAAGATCTAGAAGACATGGGAGATTTGCTACAGTAAAAATAAAAACACATAAATTATTTTTAAAAAATAACAAAAATGACCCTGGAAAAGAGAGAAATACTGAACAAATGATTAACTGTAGAAACAAATGGCCACAGAATCCATGAGTTAAAACTCTTCCCAAAGTGTCAGGCTTAGACAATTTCCCAAGGAACTTTTCTTTTTCAACCCTTGAAGGAACAGACAATGCTGATCTTATTTAGTGTGTTCCATAAGACAGAGACAAGTAAGTCTGCAAAACCCTAACCATAAAATCCACCCACACACAGGTGTACTTAAAAACATCTTTTAATAAAATTTGCATAAGACAGTGCCTTATATAATTTTTCCTGTTTTCCAGTATCAGTTTTTAAGTAATAGAGTCATTTGTAAAGTATCCCCTTAAGGTCATTTGTCCTAACTCTTGTTTTTAAGGTATAGCAGTAATTCAAGCACTCTATTTTTCACAGTTCATGCCATTTCATCAAAACAAAAGGTAGCTCAAAGTTGTATAACATCAAAAGAAAAATGAATCTCAAATGAGTAGGCCTTTCTTCTAGGGATTTGCCTTTGGAGGTTACACACACACACACACACACACACACACACACACACACACACACACATCATTGTGTTTTAATATGTGAAACTGATGACTACTGCACCAAGTTCAAAAGTCAGTAAGTCAAATCAACAAATGCTTGTTCAGTACTCACCCCTCTTGGAGGTTACAATCTGAAGGGAACCGATTGAACATCTAAAGACAATGTATCCTCAAATGGTATATTTTATGGTAGAGCTTTAAATAAAATAGGAATTGAGATGAAAAAATATGAAATTATCAATAGATGTCAATATATTTATTAATAGTAAATAGTGAATTACCAAAATTTTAAGTAACTGTCCCAAAGTAACTTAATTTTGATTAGGCAGTAAATCACACATGCAGAACAGCACTCTGGTAAGGAAAGCAAAATTGTTCAAGGGAATTAATTCCAATATTTGAAATGTGGTCATATTTTCTCAATAAATGAGTTAAGCAGACACCATTTGTTGATAAGCATCATATGGGAGAGTGGGGTGGTTTGCCATAGTCAGAAAGTAAATCAATCATAGGTTTGAAAATAGAATCCACATGTGCAGACTTGCAGAGCTAGCTGAGCCACCGGCCAGAACTCTCTCATCACACTATATTAGCTCCATTCCTGTCCAGAAGATTGTTAATGGTGAGTCTGATTAGACCATGAAACCCAGCCCCAAGGCAACTGACAGAGACGCCATCTCACGAGCCGTTTAAAAACTTCAGGACCTGAGGGATATCATTTGGTGTTAAGAAGTAAATAAAGGGTTTGATAATCCTGAGACATTTACTAAATCCATCCAACCCAAATAAGCCACCGTAAGGATTTTTCGAGAAATCATTAGACACTATGACCCAGCTCTTCAGTACAATAATGTGAAAGTAATTAATAAATTTTCACTTGGGAGTTTTCTGTTTGTTTTTGTAGAAGGGCACAAAATTGTTGGTAATCTGGGACTAGAGCAAGCAATGTATTTTTCCTATATTTCTAGGCTATACTTCATTTATTTTTTTATTCATTTACTCATTCATTCCTTTAATCAGTAAATAAACCATACCTATTTTGTTCCAAGCCCTGTCATAGAACAAAAGAGGCAATTTCTGCATCAAGGTGCAGTGTCAGAGACAGACTTGATGTATTAATGCAGACTCTTCTGGTTGCAAATGATGAAAACCCAACCTACACTAGCCTAGGGTAATGTCCATTTAGCAAGACTAGCTGAAATTTCTAGGGGTATGAATGGTTTCATTCAAAACTAAATCTAGGTTTCAAATGATATTTTAGGGTTTATTCTCTTCCTCTCGATTTCTTGGTTGTCCTTTACTCTTCAATGGTTTCACTCTCAGGCATTCTTCCAATAAATGTTGGTAACTATGACTTGCAAATATACATGGTGCTTAGCAATTGTGATCTTAGAAGAGACACTTTCTTTTCAAATGTCCATATCAGTTTCAGAGTGGGATCTGGTTTTCACCACTTGGATCATTTATTCATTTGTTCTTTCTGAGTTATTCATTGATTTCAAAGGAATTTAGTATTATGACTGACTTTGATCTGGGCTGTGTATTTATCCTGCAACCAGGAAGGTGGAATCAGATTCCCCTGAACCACAGGGACTAAAATGGGGAGACATAATTTTCTAAAATTAGCAAGGAGAATAAAATATAATGCCCCATTATGGGTACTTTTAAAGATATATTTATGTAACATAGGAATTATTGTAGAATTAGAGCACAAAGAAAGTGGTAGTCAATATTCTAGAGAGATGGAAAGGGTCAAGGGAAGCTTAAGAGAGTAAATAAACTTTGGCCTGAGTTTTAAAATATAGACAGGATGCTTACTTTTTGGACCAAAGTAGTATGACATGACAGCAAAAAGAGAAACCTTGAGTAAAAGTATAAAGGCGTTGAATAGCATGGATGTTATTTGTTATGGACTCATGGAGTAGTAAACATAGGCAGTTCAATCAGTACGTAACTGTGTCTAGATCATGGCAGTTATTCAATAAAAGTTTGTTGAGTGAATTAAAGTTGAACAATTTTCAAAGTAAATTGGGAAGTAGAATCAATAAGGAGGAGATAGAATGAACATTTTTCTCCCTCTGGGCATTTGCCAAGTACACTGATGCTTTGTACAACATTAAAAGGTAGGACTTGGCAGAATCTGAGGTTTCATTGCTAGACAAGTTGCTAGAAGAAAATGTGGATAACATAAGCTAATCTCTTAGCTGTATCTTCAACATCTGGAAGGACATTTGGGTATAGTCTTCTAGTTTCTTTCTAAAGAAAACAATCCTTTAAGATGACACAGAATGCTAGTGAAGTCTAGAGGCTGTTCAATGGTGCCAAACATTTATTTCCTTTCCCTACTGATTTAATTTTTACTTCGATTATAATTTGTTTCCAATGTTCTGAAGTCGTCCAACCATGGTTTCCTACTGTCTTCTTTCTTCTTCCCATCATCCCTCAGCTTCTTCCAGTTCTCTGTCAGATCTTCCAGTTGATGACTTGGTCCTTACGAGAAATATCTTTGTAATAACGGAGACTGCAGGCCATGCTTGTTGCAGGCAGGTAGCAGAACCTTACTTTTTATTGCTGGAGGAGATCTTAAAATTTCATGTTTCCAGTTGGAGCATTGTCAAAACTAAAAAAACTTTGCCTTTGCTTGTATTATCCAACTCTGACCAAAGACACCCACCCTTACAGCTATGGATGAGGAAGGAAAAGAGTGAAAGTAAGGAGGGTATCCTGACCTCCTGCATTTCAAGATTCAGAAAATGAATATGTTTTCCATCTTTGTGTGTGTATATTCTCCTAATAAAAATTATCATGGTATCATTTAATTTCCATTTTTAAAAGAACTGATTTAAAAGTTCTCTGTTACATTAGATGTTTTGAAATATTCTATTAAAATTAATCTGTGCTTGTTAATATAACTGAAATATTTTTTTAAGTTTATGCATAGAATAAGGACATGGACAGAACAAATGAACAAACAAACAAACAAACAAACAAACAAACAAATAAATAAATAAATAAATAAGACTCCCAACTGCTTGGGTTGGACCAGGCAAACAGATTGTTAGACAACAGGGTATCTCAAGTCTCTACCAGGCAATACAAGAAGAGAAAGAGGAATAGCGAGAAGATACACACGTGTTTGGAATTAATAGTGTCCTTTGTTAGCTGAAGTATAGCAAAGTACAAGGCAATATGTTAAGTGATCATGGCATTGGGGTTTAAATTAATCCCAAATATAGTTGATTTCTATCCACAACCCCCACCCCACCCCCCAACCCAGCTGCTTTTTTTAGTAGTTTTACTTTGGGCAAATCAGTTAACCTAGCTGAAATTCATTTTCCTTGTTAGTAAAATAGGAATAAATTATCAAGGCAGTTGTGAGGATTGACTAAGAAAATGTAGGTAAACTACATTGCATTGGATCTTGTATAGATCATGATATACATAATATAGGGGTGCTCCACAAGCAGTGCTATTATCTGAAAATCCTGCTTACGGAAACAGACTAGATTCCAGATTATAATGAAGTTAAATGAAGGTAACAATATATACAAATAAGGTGTTTGTTAGAAAAACAGTCACTCAGTCACAGATATTTTGAGAGGGAACTTCACTGGTAATGTTCATTTACCTCTATCCAGGGGACAGGAGATAAGGATGTGAACTGTTTAGTCAGGAGTATGCTATATGTTTGATGTGGAAGTGAACACATTTGATTGTCCTAGAGTAATTCCAGTACACACTGGATAACCTTTCAGTCATTCCCAAACGCAAATTGGAGTCAGCAGAATTGTCTGAAGTGCTTTTAAAATATAATTCCCAGGCCCACTCGTAATCTCCAAAGTATGGCTAGACAATCCATATTTTTAGCAAGCTCTCTTGCTTAGGATCCCATTTTAGATGATATGAACAACTCTCTCTGTGTGCTTATCACTTGGAGCTATGGTTTGGATCTTCATGCTGGTCTCCAACAGAAAGAAACTGAGCTGGTCACATGGGAAATGTTTTCAGTTTCTAATACAATTTCATTTCTTCTGGTAAATTGAAAATTGTCATTCTGGCCTATCCCAGGTTTACCATGAGCTAGACTAATATATTTGGTATGGTTTATTGATCAAATAACATTTTTACACTTCTCAATTATAAGGATTGAATAACTCCCTTAGGAAACAGTCAAATTGTGAAGCTTATTAGAAAGTCACACAACCGGCCGAACACACAACTGCCTTCTTCTCAAAGGTCCATGGGTGCTGGCCACAGGGACTCAGCGTCCTGGGTTTATATACACAGATCGTACTTTGATTTAGTATTAGTGTCTGCAGGGATGACTCACTCATTCAGTGACTGATTTCCTTCACAAAATTTTATAAGGGAATTTCAGAAGTGAACGTGCTTGGATATTACTGGATTTGCTGTCTTCTGTTGTCCCTCATGTAGCTTTGTGTGGGGCCAGAGCAGCCAGCTGACAAGTGACACTTCACTGAACCTCAAGTTTTGGTGGCCTGGTCACAGCCTTTGGTTATGCATCTCCTTACTTGGGAGAAAAGAGGAATTCTTCCTCTCACTTGCTTTTTTTTTTGTTTTTTTTTTTCCCAACAAGGGACTCCAGACCATTAAATAATACTTAAAAATAATCCTGCCACATCAGCAAGCAATCACTGTGCTGTCAGCGCAAGGCTTTGGTGGACCACATGATTGCGGAGGCTGGCAGGGTAAGGTCAGCGTCCTGCATTGACCACTGTAAGCAAGTCCTGTAGATTATCTTCACTCCTGAATCCCCTAAAGACTAGGTTTATTCTGAGGACAATGTCACTCACTTCTCTTTTCTGCTGCAAAGGACTATTGCTTTGGTGTTTAATTAAAACCAGGCTCTTTACAGCATGGCAAAACTAACTCTAGAAAGTAGCAAAAATGTAAAGATTTTATCATTGTGAGTAATTTTGTCATAAACTCCTGCTAAGTTCCCCAAATTAACTTCAGTGTTTCTGGGGTGACAACATATGAAGCTAAACTTCCCTCAACCAGTGCTTATTTCTGAAGAGGTCAACTCTCGGTCCTGTATTGTCTCATTCCAGTTACAGATGAAACTATTTTTTAAAAGTCTAAGGCCTCTCTCATGAGTATGCAAGGTGTCTGCGGACAGGCTGCCAGGATTCCCAAAGGAGCATTGCAAAAAAGCATTCAAGCTTGGCTTCTAAAATTTCTTTTCTCTTTAAAAGTTGCTCTAATGTTCACTTCAATATGTTTTGGGAACTGTCCCACACAGAATGACTTTCCGTTGGATCTGAGCTCTTCTAAGTGAGTCCTAAGTGAAGGATGTTATAAACCAGCTGACAGGAAGCTGAGATGAAGCCTGTTCCCCACTGTGCAGTCAAGTGTGCAGGGTAGAACTTGTCCTGCTTCACTGTCTTGAGGGTCTGCAGTTTAAGTTGCGACTGGTAGACTAAGATGCAGGAGGTCCAAAGAGACCTCTTTGCCTTTTAAATGGACTCTATTGCATTTTATGTGAGTGTGCACCCAATTTGTATTATTAAGAAGAAATGAAAAGAGGCTTTTCAGAACAGTGCCATTTTTATCTTTCAGGCCTAAGGAAGAGAATTGTGTGTGTGTACGTGTGTGTGTGGCGTGCACACATGCTCATGCCTTTGACTTCCTGTTCCTACACCAACGCCACTCAGGGTAAGGGAGCTTAGCAGCTTTACTGGGTCATGTCCGAAGTTTCCACACTGGCTCCTTACTGACCGATTCTGACAGCCTAGTGAGAGAGGTAACCGTAGTCCTACTTCACAGGTAGGCAAAGGGAAATGGAACGACATGCCCTGAAAGCTGAGAGCTGATACTTGACTAACTCTGCCTTACTCCATTGTTTACATACTGCCTGTGCTATCCCTGAACATGATGAAGACCAAGTCTCTGACATAAATGAATATTTTACAAAGAGAATTCTGCACCCAACTCTGAAATAGAGAAAATCTAATCTTTTCCCTTCAAGGTTGTTGGTGCAAAGAATATAGTAGGATTTTTGCAAACAATTTCTACTTTATCTTTGATAGGAACATGATTTTTTCTCTCAGAATGGAGAAAATTGCTGTTACTAGTTTTCTAATGAATAAACATGCAATTGTGTATCTTATCAGCTAAACATGGGTTAGCAAACTTGAGGCAAATTTCTTAAAATGGAAAATTTACATACGTATTGCTGTATTATTAAAATATTTGTTAATTTTCAATTGAATAAGATGTAGTTTATAATTCTGACACATAAAATGATCTTAGTACCCAAACACATTAATATGTAGGAAAAGAAAAATGTGTATGTAACATGTGAGTTGTAAATTTTTAGAACTATTTCCAGTATTGAATTATTTTTATTATAATTAAAGTTTTTAATTTCTAATTTTAATCTTCATGATTTTAATACTCAACAAGCATTAACCTAAATTATGAGTTTATTAGCGATAGCATTAAGACCATCCAGTTTTCTCTTGTACGCATGAAATCAGGCACCTGGGTGTTTCCCTATGCATCTGTTTTCCTAATACCTCCTTGATGACGGGACTACAATGCTACTTAAATACAGAGCAGGTGGCAAATGGAAAAGAAAAAGTTCTGCCTGTAACAAGCTGACAGTGGATCAGGACCAGCAGTGTGGTTTTACTGACTTATTTTTCAAGAACATGGAGGTGTTTATCTACTTGTTTGAGATACTAGACATCTGTTAACTCTATTTTTATCCAACTTTCTTTCGTGTTAAAATGCAATCTTTCTATTTGAAAAAAATTAAAAATCTTTATAAAATCAAGAGTTTCTGAATCCAAAAACGTTTAATTTATAATATGGCTTTATTTCTTAATTTTATTATCCACTCAACATCTGAAGTCATCCCATATTGCAAAACATTTGTGATTCTCTCATTAAAAAGTAATAGGAGATAGAACTTTAAAGCTATCACCAAGTAATAATAATTACCAAATGCTCTAAGTACATTACCTAATTTAAAGGTCACAAGAGCTCCGTAAGATAAATATTATTATCTCAGGTTTACATTTGAGGGAACTGAATTTCAGAGATGACATACACTTAGGGAGACTGAAACCAATGAGAGTTACCAAGGCCTCTGAGGCAGACTTGGTACAAGAATTAAAAAAAACGCTGGTTCAGTGCCTTCTTTCATATAGAATTGTAGAGATCTCAAATGTTTAACTTAAAAAAATCAAGTAACCAGAAAATATCACTGACTGAATCTGAACTGGAAATTAATGTTATAAACACATCATGAAGAAAGCAATGTAAAACAGAATTCCCAAGGCTTAAGTACTAAGAAATTTTTGAAAATGCATCATATAGAATGAAAAGAGAGGGAAAGGACAATAAAATCTTAACATATTCAGTGACATCAACTTCTTTTATAATAGCGACCATTGAAGTTAAGAATTTCACTGTTGTGGTCACACAGTAATGCCAAGGGGAGAACACTCTCTTGCTTCTCACTGTTCCATCTTTTTGTGTCTGCTAGGTGTGGATAGATGATGACAGTCATCAATTCTAGGTAAGTTGCGCTCTCTCAGTACCCTGGGCCTGAAGATATGGAAAGCAACTAGAGGAAAGAGGAGACGCAATAGAATCCAAGTATCAGGGATTAGGGGCTGAGCAAGAGTGAAGTGTTGAAATGATAGAAGAGGAGCTCTGGAACACTCGCTGAGTACTGAAATGTTCTTAGTTTAATTTTCTCCTTTCCCTGTGATTTATGCTCCTTCTCAACTTTGCTCGTCGTCTCTTCTCTTTCCATTTCATTTTCTCTCTGTTCCGGCAGAATTGTAGGTGCTGTGATCGCCGACAGTCTAAGCCTGTCCGGGGACCAGTGCACACTCCTCCCAGCCCCCTCTGCTCCCCACACAGTTGTCGGTGCAGCCCTGTCCCGTTGCTCCGCACAGCTCTCCAGAGTGGAAGAAGCAGGAGGGAACGGTGCTAGGTGGATGGTGGCGAATGGTAGACTTGTTAGGCAGTGGTTGGGTCGTGATACCCATCAATTGGGTAAGGTAAGTGATACACTCCAGAACGACTCAGAGGGTAAGCCCTGTAGCTGGCTTTCTGAGGTAGCTATCAAAAAGTAAAAAGTGAGGGTGTGCATATTAGCAGAATTTACCATACGTAGTTGATATATTCATTCACATGTGTATATCATTAAGACTCTGGGGATACAAAATTCAAACACCAAAATAATTTTTTATATATTTACTAATTGACTAACAAGGCATTATTATTTTTTTTTATGAGCATGAAGAATAATTAGGAAGAAAAGTTTTCAAACTTCCTTTTAAATTGGGAAAGGCCAAGGTTTAGAGATTGGAGATACATAAAGTGGTTGAGGCACTTATCCATAGTCACCAGATATTAAGTTTGAGTAAATGAGATTTTTCAATATGTCATTTTATTTTTACTGCTATCAAAATTGAAATTAGTTTAGGTTTCCCAGTTTCCTGTTCATTAATTTCTGAGGCACTCATCCACATGTCATAGAAACACTTGTATCTTAAGATATCTATAAACACTTATATCTCAGGATGTATACATATAGTTGACCCTTGAACTATGTGACCATTGGAGCACTGTTCCCCTACCATTCAACTGAAAATATGTATATATTTTTTGACTCCCCCAAGTGTAACTACTAATAGTTGGCTGTTGATACTAAAGCAGCCTTACTGATTAACACATACTTTGTATATTATATGTATCATAAACTACATTTTTACAATAAAGGTTACTACCTAGAGAAAAGAAAATGTTTTTTCAAATTGTCACAAATCTCTGAAAAATATTCCAATATATTTATTGAAAAAACCCACGTGTAAGTGGACCTGTCCAGTTCAAACCCATGTTGTTCAAGGGTCAACCGCATATACACCTTGAATCTTTCAGCAGTTCTCCTGAGTCGTATTTCCAACTGCTTGCAGGGTGTGACCGCTGAACTGTCTTGCCACTACAAGCAATTTATCAAATCGTAACTGCAACATATCTCTCACAGATATTATTTTTCTAGTCATCTGAAGGAGACTAGAAGTTTTGGAGTCATCTTTTACTCATTCTGCTCCTTCATCATCTAATTTTGATCTGTCCCCAAGAGTTATCATCCCTTCAACTGTGCCTCGCCTGCTGGATTCCCACAGCTACCTCGCTAACTCTGGGTTTTCATCACCTCAGACTTAAATTACTGAAAGAGCCTTCAGGATGATTCCCTTGCCTACACTCCATCATCCAGCGCTCTGGCTCAGATCAGTGGCCACTAGCTAGTGCAAACACTTCTGGGATTCTGACTCTTTCTAATTTAAGTCTATTTTCTAAGATAGTCTAATATTTTACGCGCAGCTTGCGGGTGGCCATTGTCCATTCGCTTTCCTACATAAGTCACCTTGTTTCTACTTCAAAACTTTGTCTTGAATAATTTTCTCTTCCTTCCTTTTTAACCTCTCTTCTTTTTATTCAAACTACAACCAGATTTGGAGGCTCAGCTCAAAATCATTGTCTCCCCTCTTCTTCTATGATTAAGAAAGTTCATAATGGCTTCTCCATGTTCTGAATTCATGATTTTCTTCAGTATCCTATACTCTGGTCCTTCACTGTGCTTAAATGGATATGGTGTATTCTATCTTACCAAAGAGACTATAAAGATTGTATAGCTCTATATCACTTGCACCTTCCATAGTATCAGAACAGTTGAAGGCACATAAAACTGATATTTAACTAATTGAGTGATTCATTAAACATATATTATTATTTTTTATAAACAGATAGGAAAAGTGTCAAGGCATGCCTCAGTATCATTTATCTCAAGGATATTCAAATATCTCAAGTGGGCACTTTAGATTTTATAAGTCTAATAATTTTGGCTTTATTTATATACTTACTCTGAGCCAAATATTCTGAATTTTCTGCTAGCAAGGGAAATATCAGAATATGAAACACTCTTTGTTTCAAGAACCAGAGATTTATGCACAGAATAACGTTTTGAAATTCTACACTATTTCACAATGTAACTATGATACCTGAGCTGCATCCTCTTTCTAATTGTCTTACCCCATTGAAATATCAAAATGGATGAACATGTGAATACTTACATGCACCTAAATTTCTGCATTTTTTCATGTCAGCAGCATAATTTCATAAACAAAAAAGCTGGAAGGTACATAACTCCCTGTTAGGGATTCTTGGACTTAAATAGAAAAATATCTAATCCTGCAACTTATTCAAAATCTTTGCAAGCAAAAGCAGAAAAAAAAACAAGTTGTTCTAGTAAAATAAAACCCTGCATAAAATCTAAAGCAATTCAAAACTTGGCTTTCTGGACTTTTTCACGAATTATAACCGCAAGTTTAACAGCCAGCCTTTGGGACTTAAGTGCACCAGGTAGGCGATATTGTTCCACAGAATAATTGCTCCCCAGGGAAAAGGCATTTCGGTGACTTTCATGTTATAAGGCAGCACGAGCCAGTGGGTCATTAATCATTAGTGAGTGTCACTGAAGAGTTTAAATACAAAGAAAAGGATACAATGACATGAAATATCAGAGGAAAAAAGAATTGTGCAAATTTCCATGATAATCTGACTTAAAGTTTCATAACTACCTATATATGCAAATACCAGGTTTTAAAAGAAATCTGATAAAAAACACTTAAAGATTAATTCATTACACTGAATAAAAATTTATGTCTTCACAGCTGATCCTTTTGGGGTATGTGTAGGAGAAAACAGAGTAGATGGAAATGGGGCAATGCTTTAACAGTCTGAAATAAAAATGTGCCATTTATATCTTTGATTTGGTTACTTTTTAAAAGTTGTTTTTAATAAATTCATCCATTAAAGCATAAAGAAAGCAACTTGGGATAAAAGACACATATGCAGTTAAAAATTGTAAAAAAATTAAAATAAGGTAAAGAAGTACTAATAAGAGAAGAAAAACGCATTTCCCCCCAAAATCCTAGCTTAAAGATACCTACTGTAGTTATGAACTATTTCTAGCCCTAAGCTTCCTAGCAGCTAAGCAAAAAAGAGAAATAAGAATAAATTATCTCGTTGGAAGCATAAGAGAATGCCAGGAAAAAAAAAATTCTCCTAGCACCAATTTTCAAGAGTTTATCTCATAAATGACATTGTACAGTGTTGACTCAGTTTGTCTTCAGTTTCAAACAGAAGAAACTAACTGTGGGTAACTTGACATTTACTGAAAAGATTAGAATGAGCTCCCGAATCAAAGGGGAGGCCAAAAAACCAGGTTTGGACCCAAGAGGAATCAAGGCTTTTTAGAGTCACAGTAGCTGGAACAGTCTGACAGCCTCTGTCAGGCAATGGCACTTCAATAAGTCCCACTTTCCTGCTGTCCCTGTGTCTGTTACTATAACAAGGTGACTTGTGTCTCAATACAGGGAGAGTTTGACAGTTTTTCCCAGGCACTATTCTAATAAATTAGTCCAGCGTTTCCATTGCCTTTGCACCTGCAAGTACTCCCTGTGGCCGTCATTTGTAATCAGGAACTGCTTTCCATCTCTTGCTCTCTTGTCCACCCCATCCTTCCCACTATGCCATTGGCTAGTACACCTTGACAAGTCAAGATAAATACGGTTAAGCAAAAATTGTTCTGAGAGGAGAGGGAATATAGAACTGAAATAAGAGTAACATTTAATAATCTGATAAAACTACATTTCATTGCATCCAGAGACTGAATTTCTCAGGAGAAAATGAAACACTTTAAATGGGACCCTTAGTCTTCTTTCCGGCACGCCCCACCGCCAGGCCAGAGAGGAGGAGGAAGGAGGAGGAGGAGGCAGTGAGCCTGTCACATTAGGGAAGAAAATTTATAAACAGCCACCCCCTCCAAAATAGCACAAAATATATCATATGTTTTAAGAACAGCTCCATATCCGTAAGATGCTCAGAATAAGGCCCGTGGGAGGGTGACTGACGAGCGCGGGTGACACCCGGGCCGCACAGCTGCTGAACCAGGCACGGAACTGGAGGCGCCCCTGTGAGGAGCTCCAGGGACCTCACCGGCTTCCCTAGTGGGGAAGTAGGTGCCTGAATTTACAATCCCACCAAAGCTACACAAGCTGAGGAGCGGTGAACCCCCAAAAGGAAATCTGTATTCTCTGCCAAGAGGGGAAATGGATGGCTAGGCAATCACTCCAAATGGACCAATGTCCAATGGCAGCGGCGTTTCATCCAGCATTGAGTGGGTGCTCCTTACCTACCATGCGCTGTTGCAGGTGCTCTCCCCCTGCTCATCCTGTGAAGATGGTGCACTGTATTAGTAATTTTAATAAGTAAGCTGCCAAAGACATCCAAATGGTCAGTGATGGAACGATGGTTCAAACCCGATGTCAGGACTCATGTTCTTAATCCCTTTAGACACCTTCAGGAGCTGTTTTAAAATAAATGAAGCAACTGTGTTCATACAGCTGCTTCTCATAAAAATCAATGCAAAATCAGAGCTCCTTGAATACCTTGAGTATAATCAACTATTTTGAAAATGTATGTTATGTGTATTTTTTTTTAAACCCTCAAGTATCAGGCTCACACCAAAAATAAAGCTAAATAAATGAGGCTATAGCTAAAGGTTGTAACATTTTAGGAAAATAAGAAAGCTTTTTTTATGATAGATAGTTTGAAATTGGTTTCTCTGTATGTTTTACTAAATGTGTATTTCTTACCTAGTTACGGTAACTTAATGTATTTTAATTATTTGTATATTTTAAAAAACAAAAACAATAGGAAATCTGTTGCCGATAATTGTACAAAAATTCAGATACTGGACAAATTAAAAGGCAAAGTTCCTTGTCACTGATGCACAAATCCTCTGTCAGTTCCATTCCCTAGATAAACACAGTTTGAGGTGTGAGTTTTAAAAACACTTATTCACAAACAGCAGGCAGACTGATGGCTGTGGGATATTCAGTCAGAATTAGGGATAAATAATAAAGAAAACTATTGATTGAACTTTCATATCACCGATTCTTAAATGTCTTTTATATTTTCTCCAAGACAA